CGCTTGAGGGCCGGGACCGACCGGTCGGCGGTGGAGGTGTCTGGATGCACGCCCTCGGAAGCGCTGCGCTTGGTGTTCGCCCGCGCTCAGTCCCTGCAGCAGCCCCTCCAGGCCGTTTCTCCGGTCCTCCCCATGCTTGCTGGGAGTTGGGATTCCCTTTTCGGCCCTACGCCGCGCACCGGGAACAGTTAGTTCACCCCTCGGCAGGAGGTAGAGGTGCCTGCCGGCTGCTGTGAACCACACCTCGGGAAGCCAGGTTCCAATGAGCGCTACCTCCAGAGCGGGTTTGGGCTGGGCTGAAAACGTGTTTCAACCCGGGGACCGCCGCACTTCGTCTTTTCTGGTTTACTACCGCGGTCCCAGCACCTGGCATGGCCTAGAGCAGGCACTCAGTAAATACCTGTGCCACAGGAGGGCCCTAAGGAAGGTTGGGGGGGGGCTGGAGACCTCGGTGGAGAGCGGTCGAGGCAGGGGCGCAGACGCTGTGAAATCGCCCCCTCCGCAGCCCGATAGGGCTTGGAAAAGTCGTTTCTTCCCTCATGGCCTCTGAGGATGGAGCAAGCATTTGCGGCTGAGGCTGGGGCCCAGGACACCTGGGTTGGCTCTGCAAAGGACATTCCTGAGGACCAGAGGCCAAGCTGGCACAGGGTGTGACTCTGGGCCCGGAATGTGGTGGAACAGGTGGGCCCAGGCTGGCTGGGCTGACCCCAGGCTGGCCTCATCTGCCCAAGTTGCCATCTTAGCCCTCCAGATTCACCCTAGATCCCACACTCCAACACAACTCTGTGGCAGAAAAGACAATTTATTCTTCAGGAAGGAAAACAGAGGAGGTGTCAGACATAGGAGGTCTGGCTCGCTAGTCTGTGGGTATCCAGGTACTTCCTCAGGGCTGTGGGGTAATCAGTCATGACACCAGTGGCCCCCAGGCTGAAGGCCACTTCAAAATCTGACTCTTCATTAAGGCACCAAAATATCACCTGACCAGGGAGAAAAGAGCTTGTTAGTTTCCAAATCACTTTATTTGAAACTTCCCCTCACACCCAGAAGCTGGGCAGTCTCGCTTCCTCCTCTGTGCAGACCTCCCAGCAGCAATATGCTGGAACCTATTATTAACTTTTCAGGAATCTTGCAAACTGGTTATTTCACAGCCACTATAAATTAAACTGAGCTGGGCGTGGTGGCCTACGCCTATACTTCAAGCACTCAGGGAGGCTGAGGCAAGAGGATCACAAGCTGCCGCTCAGCTTAGGCAATTTACTAAGACCTTGTTTCAAAATAAAAAAAAAAGGGGTAGGGGCTCAGTGTAAAGTCCCTGGCTCAACCCTCCCCCATACTGATACATTTGGTGTGGGGGTTGAGACAGGGTCTCACTACATAGTTGAGACTGACCTGGAACTCACTAGGTAGCCCAGGATGGTCTTGAGCTCACAGCAATCCTCCTGCCTCAGCCTCCCGAGTGCTGAGATTACAGGCATGCACTACTACGCCCGGCCCCCCCCAAAATTATTAAAAAGGAAAATACTCAAAACTCAGTTCCTGATTATTTTGTGACCTTGTACTATTTCCTACATTCTTCAGGTTGTGTCTGCTGTCTGTTAGGTGGGAATACTGCATATTGATGTGCTACCATACCTCTTTCCAGTTCTGCATTCAGTGACTTCACATTGGTAGCCGGAAGTTGGTGGGAGTGTAAATGCCAGGGAAAGTAATGCTTTGATTTTTCCTCCCTACAGTGGAAGTTTGACCGTTTCCCAGCACCCCTGCTTCCCAGACTGCCCAGTCCCTGCTGCTCTGGGCCTTCCCTGCCTTCCTCCCCACAGGTATGAAGGCAGGCAGGTGGAGATGATTGTTTATTCTAGGCAAATCCCTGTACCTCTCTAGTTTGCAGTTTGGCCACTGAGGGTGATGGCCCAACCTCACAGTTCTGAAGATCCAACGGGTGCTCAGAGAGCTGTCATCCCAATGCCTCCCTCACCCACATCTGGTCAGTGGCCAAGTCCTGGTTTTTCCTCTCCCATCCCCACTTGCCACCTAATGACACCCAGCTCCCACACTGACTCTGCTGGGATTGGCTCTCCTGCTCCAGACCCAGAAGGCTTCCCTCCGCCATGGGCTGAAGTCCACATTCTCTTCTGAGGTCAGTGGGCTGCTTGCCTTGGCTTGGAAACCCTGCCAGTGCCTCTCACCAGCAGAACCCCTCCTGCTCCCATCTCACTTTGCGCAGACCCCACAGCCCCATGAGCGAGCCATGGCCTGCTTCATTTCCTTCCTCTGCCCTTGGTGGCCAGGACATCATACTGCTTGAACTTCCTGTACATTTGCTAATTAAATGACCTGGTCACAGCCAGTGCAGGACAGAAGGGTGGGTCACAGAGCCTGGGGTCGCCCTGGGGCCAGGCCAGTGGGCTCCACATTTACCAAGCCCTTACTGAGTACCAGCTACATATCCAGAGCAGCTATGCGAACCAGTCTTCCCATTCACAGGTGAAGAAACAGGCTCAGAAGGTGACGTGACCTGCTTAGGAACCGCAAGCCTGCAGCAGAGTTTCAGCCCTGTGGCCAGGCCACACCAGACACTTCCTTCTGGCCAGAGTCGCAGTCAGCTCCTCACCTGCACCCCTCGCCCCTCCAAGTGTTGGATCAGACTTTTCCTCATGATGGCCCTGGATGCAGGGGAGGAGGAGGTGACAATAAGAATGAGGAAGAACGGCGGCAGCAGATCCCTGTGTGGACCCCACCAGCCCTCTTGCCCACCTCACCATTTCGTAACCGCGGCTGCCAGCCGGTTCAGTCCTGAGCAGGAAAATGGGAAGTAGGTCCTGTGGGGAGAAGGCGGGGTAGTGTGGGAGTGGCCGCTGACTAAGGGAGTAACTCAACCTACCCGGACACCTTGGAATCCATGGTGAGGGTGGGCTGAGTCTGAAGGAGCCAAGGGGACTTGCCCTGGGCCCTGCCTAATTCCTGGCCATCCTCTTGAGCCCAGACAGCACTTAATGTATTGTTTGGTTCTGTCTAATCACCCCGCCCCAGGGGGGACTACAGTGGCACCTCACAGTGTGCCTTGGCAGGCTTTGGAGTGAGACCTAGGACAAACCTGGGCTCTGTACTTCAGCTGTGTGACCTTGGACAAATGACAGAACCTCTCTCTGCCTCTGATTCTCCATGGATATCATGGGGGTCAGGATTCTTATACCTCCTGGGGACACTGAAATTTAAAGGACAAACACTCCAATGTGTGTTTGTTTGTTTTTTTTTTTTTTTTTTTTTTTTTTTTTTTGGTATCAGGGATCAAACTTGGGTCCTTGCACTTGTGAGGCAGGCAGGGGAACCACTGAGCCAAATCCCTGGCTCTAAGGGCAAACACTCCAAAAGATGTGAAAATACTTTGTAAATCCTATATAAAATGTCACATATAGGGCCAGGGATTTGGCTCGCTGGTTCTGCTGCCTGCCTCGCAAGCACAAAGGTCCAAGTTTGATCTCCGGTACCAAGAAAAAAATAAAACAAGTCACATATACACATGAGGCAGGATTTCAAGTTTGGATCTCACCTGGGCAACTTAGCGAGACCCTGTCTCAAAATAAAAACAGATACAAAAGGCTGAGGTGTAAGTCAGTGGTAGAGAGCTCTGGGTCTGAGAACCCGGTACTGAGGGAAGGCACATACACAAAGCTGTGTAGCCAGGAGTGCAGGCTAGCTGGGCTCTTCCCTTGGGATAATGCTGGCAAACGTTTTATAGTGATTTTCTTCCTTCCTTTCTGTTTTGTACTGGGGAGCAAACTTAGGACTTTGCGCTTGGTAAGGCAAGTGCAGTGCCGCTGAGTTACATCCCCAGCCCTTTTTAGAGATTTTATTCATTCTTTTATTTTTGCAGTACTGGGGATTGAACTCAGGACCCTGCATTTGCCAGGCAGGCACAGTGCCACTGAGCTACATCCCTGGCCCAAGAGCTTTTTTTTTTTTTTTTTTTTTTT